AATTGCTTGGTGCAAGGCTGAGCAGTGTGCCACTTCAACTTCATGCACTGCCCTCCCTTTATAGTATACAATTCATACTAAACTACTGGATGCTAAAGGGAAGAAATTGGTGGAAAGAGAAAAATTAAAGGAGTGAGAGGGAAAAAAAATCAAGAGGGTGAGGATGGGGAGAGATGATCTCATTTATGTCCATATATATGAATATATATTTTAACTTGATAGTTTCCAAACTTATATCCTCCTGTCCAAACCCCAGAGTCTCAGAGAGGCATAACCAACAGTTTCCATGCAGTCTCCCGTGAATTATCTTAAAAACATTACAAAGCTAAATGACTAATGTAAAATTCCTTTTTCTTTTGTTTTTCACGAATTGAGGCTTTTCTCATTCATTTCCAAAGAAAACTTTGACTTAATCCATTAGCACGTTTGAGTTTCTTCTACTGTTTAGTGCAGTAGGACTTGTCTTAGATTAACTTGGTACATATTTCACCAGTGAATGCCTTATTTCTCACTTTTAGAAAGCATTGTTTACATTTTCTCTTGAATCTGGTCTTTCTCCAGTCTTCTCCATACTAATAAATACCTGTACTTTCCATGCATCAGCTCAGGTAAATGATCTAGAAGTCGTTCTTCACTTCCTTTCCTTAACACATTTTCCTCTCCAATTCAGCAGCAAGTCCTGATGATCCTATCTCCAATATCTCTCTCAAATTCCTACATTTATCTCTCTCTCTCCCTCTATTCTCACCACACTCATCCTATCCACAATCATCTTTTATCCACTATTCTTCAGTACCTCTGAAGACTTTCCCTGATCTGACCTTTGACTTCTGACCTTCTGACTTTCCCACTCCACTCCATTCTCTGTAGCACTGACAGTCATTGTCTTAAAATTCAAATTGCATCAAGTGACTTATTTAAAATCCTTCCAAAGGCCAGGCGTGGTGGCTCATGCCTGTAATCCCAGCAGTTTGGGAGGTCGAGGCAGATGAATCACCTGAGGTCAGGAGTTGGAGACCAGTCTGGCCAACATAGTGAAACCCCGTCTCTACAAAAAATACAAAAATTAGCCGGGTGTGGTGGCTTATGCCTGTAGCTCCAGCTACTTGGGAGGCTGAGGCAGGAGAACCACTTGAACCCAGGAGGCAGAGGTTGCAGTGAGCAGAGATCGCACCACTGCACTCCAGCCTGAATGACAGGAGGGAAACTCTGTCTAAAAAAAAAAAAAAAAAAAAAAATCCTTCCACCGCTTCTCAATACATGTTTTTTTGTTGTTGTTGACAGAGTCTCGCTTAGTTGCCCAGGCTGGAATGCAGTGGCACTATCTTGGTTCACTGCAACTTCTGCCTCCTGGGTTCAAGCAATTCTCCTGCCTCACCTCCAGGGTAGCTGGGACTACAGGCACGAGCCACCACGCCCCGCTAATTTTTGTATTTTTAGTAGATATGGGGTTTTACCATATTGGCCAGGCTGGTCATGAATGCCTGACCTCAAGTAATCCATGCTCCTCAGCCTCCCAAAGTGATGAGATTATAGGCGTGGGCTACCGCACCCAGTCTCTACTGTTTTTTCTGTCTATTTCTTTTTTTTTAAGTTTCTCAGGTTTACCAAGGCTTTTCTTATCTTCGAAAATGCTTTTCCTATCTTCGAAGATGCTTTTCCCTTATTTTGCTTCTCCCAAGTATCCTCTACCCTCTCCTATTTGTTGTCTGCTCTCACTCTTTGTTTAGCTCTTTGTATTTATAAATCTGGTATTATTTTATCTTGCTTTTTCTTAATATTCCTGAAAATGTAACTCTGTGAAGATGTAAACTCTGTGAAGACGGAAAGGCAGAGGCCCTGTTTGTTTGTTCTGTATGCTCTACACTATTATTGGTACATAATTTCTTTCTTTCTTTTTTTTTTTTTAAGAGACAAAGTCTCGCTCTGTTGCCCAGGCTGGAGTGCAGTGGCACAATCTCAGCTCACTGCAACCTTCGCCTCCCAGGTTCAAGCGATTCTTCTGCCTCAGTCTCCTGAGTCGCTGGGATTACAGGCATGTGCCACCACGCCCACTACTTTTTGTATTTTTAGTAGAGACAGGGTTTCACCATATTGGTCAGGCTGGTCTCGAACTCCTGACATTGTAATCTGCCCTCTTCGGCCTCCCAAAGTGCTGGGATTACAGTCGTGAGCCACCGCGCCCCCAGCTGGTACATAATTTCTTAAATCGTATTTGCTGAACACACACAAAACCTGTTAAATGATTGTAATGCAAGCACAACTAAGATTATTTATTTGTTTATTTATTTATTTATTTATTTATTTTATGTTTTTTGAGACGGAGTTTTGCTCTTATTGCCCAGGCTGGAGTGCAGTGGCATGATCTCGGCTCATTGCAACCTCCACCTCCCAGGTTCAAGCGATTCTCCTGCCTCAGCCGCCTGAGTAGCTGGGACTGCAGGCCCGCGCCACCACACCTGGCTAATTTTTGTGTTTTTAGTAGAGACGGGGTTACACCAGGATGGTCTGGAACTCCTGACTTCAAGTGATCCACCCACCTCGGCCTCCCAAAGTGCTGGGATTACAGGCGTGAGCCACCGTGCCCAGCCGAGCCAGTGTTTGAAGAGTAGATGTGAAGAAAGTTAAAAAGGATTTTAAAAAATTGAGAACAATAATGATGGCAATGGAGGTGATTAACAGATGTATTAGATTCAGTATAGAAATAATTGAGGCCAAAGGGGTGCAAATAACTCGTGACCAAATGGGAGGGTTACGGGAGTGAGCGACTCCACATGACTGAAGAGCAGCACATGTGAAGCAGATTAGGAAAAGGCGCACTATGGGATGGAGACAGGGGACAGAGTAGCATGTCACAGTTGGAAGTGATTCTATATTTCAAATAAGGGGGTAGGGGCTAGGAAGTGGCTGTGGGGCAGAGAGATTCCTTTAGAATAAGACCTTATAGGCAAGATTTCCCCAAGATTTTCTAATGCCAATGAACGTTTTACCTTTGTCAAGTCTGTGGTGTCCTGGTGCCTGAATAGAAGAGCCTAGAATGTCTTCTGGAATGTGTCTTTGAGGACTGAATGACTCATCTGGCAGCAGTAAAACAAAGTCACTTCAGGCGCTATTAGCAATGCATGCATTTCAATAATTCCCAGAGCCAATTTGTTAAATAACTCAGGATAATTTCAGATCAACAGCGGGTTATACTCAGAACATTTTCCCCTCTGGGCTAAGTGAGCATTCCAAGAATGTAGTTAACAAGGAGCTGCACTAATTAGCCAATCCCTGGCTCTGTGTTGCCTCCCTGAGTACTGGAGCTAATTAATTGGTTAATAAACAGTTAGATTTCTCAAATATTCCTTACCTCTACCCAGAACATATTAAGAGGAATCACTTATATCTGTTGTTGTTTACCTCAATCAACAAGTATTTATTGATAAACATAAAGCCACTTCAGGTGTGACAACAGTAACATGGCTGGCAAAAATGGGAACATAGCTCTCGGAAAAATCATAGCAGACAAGGGAAGGTTAGGTGACAGTAGGAAGAATAACATACATATGCATAACACTTTACAAATTATGCCGCATACATTTAGCTTCTTTGATCTTCACAACAACCTTCTGAGGTGTTATTATTCCCTGTTTTCTAGGTGAGAAAACTGCTTTAAAGATTTCAGGCCAGGAGCAGTGGGTCAGGCCTGTAATTCCAGCACTTCAGGAGGCCGAGGGGGGTGGATCACCTGATGTCAGGAGTTCTAGACCAGTCTGGCCAACATGGTGAAACCCCCTCTCCACTAAAAATACAAAAATTAACTGGGCATGGTGGCGGGCACCAGTAATCCCAGCTATTCGGGAAGCTGAGGCAGAAGAATCGCTTGAATCCGGGAGGTGGAGGAGGTTGCAGTGAGCCGAGATCATGCCATTGCATCCCAGCCTGAGCTACAAGAGCAAAACTCCATCTCAAAAAAAAAAGAAAAAAAAAAAGAAAAGAAAAAAAGAAAAAGGAAGGATTTCAGTGACTTATCTAAGGTGAGTAGTTTTTCCCCAAATATGCATCACTTCCTCGATTTTCCGATAATACTCTGGGAGGTGGTATGATATGTGGATAGATTAGCACTACACTGCCGCATGGTTCCTGGGAAGCATTCCATCGAGGCTTAGCTCACCATTTAGTTTTTGCTCCAAGAACTGGAGAGCCATGCCGATAGGCTCAAAGGAGAGAGCGTATTTTCTACCATGGCTCCACTAGGTGGCAGTGAGGGCCACCCCTAGAGACTAGCGTGAGTCACTACAGAGGTGTTGTGGCTTTAAGTGGTCCAGGCAAAACAGGAAAGAAGCAAAGCAACACTATTTAAACCTTTAGAGTTAAAACAAGGTGCATGTGTACATGCATGTGTGCACACGTATGTGTCTGCAGTGCAGAGGAACTGAAGAATTAATCCAACTGTTACTGCACAGTATGTACACTGCGTACACAGCATGTGTACATGCATGTGTGCACACGTATGTGTCTGCAGTGCAGAGGAACTGAAGAATTAATCCAACTGTTACTGCACAGTATGTACACTGCGTACACAGCATGTGTACATGCATGTGTGCACATGTATGGTTTACAGTGCAGAGGAACTGAAGAATTAATCCAACTGTTACTGCACAGTATGGTTCTGTGAGTATGGTTTTTCATACTGCGGAGGGGCAGGACCAGAGGAAAGAAAGACTGATATTTGGCACTTGAATACTATACTGTGTTCTTTTAGCCCGTATCAGCAATCCCATCCGTAGCTTTTAGATATCCGGGTGGGTATGTTGTGCTGTCTAAGATGATCATTGTCATTTGGTGTAAAATTGATTGCTGTCTCAGGAGGAAAGATGCATGCATTCAGTGCATTAATGTTGATGGCTGTGCTAACACTGTTGTCTCTCTTTTCCGCTTTATCGCAATGGATTAGCTGACACAGAGAGACGCAACTGGCAGTATCATGTGGGTACAGGAATTTTATATGCACTCAGTAGTTGAAGGAATTCAAGACACCTTCATGTTTTCCCGGTTTAGTGGTAATCAGCGTGGCTAGAGATTACTTGCAGATTTTGACCATTGGATAAAAAAATTAAGAGTTCCCAATTAGAGCATTCTGTATCAGAAGATACAAAGGCCTGCGAATGAAGAGTAAGAACCATCTTTCCCTGGAATGATGGTGTTAGATGCCATCCTAAAACTTCTGAGGGTTAGAAAAGAATGTGTTCCATTTTCCCACAGACTCTGGACATACCTCCACCCCAATTTATAAAATGGCAGCTCTCATCAGTTCCAAGAGTCAACTATTCAAGTTGACTCCTTCTCTATCGGAGGCAGCTGCTTTTCTTCAGGCACTGGGGGTAGATCAGGTGCTTTCTGCCCACACCTGGCTACTGTGAAGCGACTCATATGAAGAGCTTCTTCATACCCTGGGAGGGTGTCCAAAGAGGAGGGCAGTTGGCCCAGGGAGCTGTGGGAGTGCGCCACAGCCAGGATCCTCCGAGCTGCAGGGCCAAACACTGACTGCAGAGCTGTGAAGAAAGAAGGAACAGAGCTAAGGAACTAAGGGAAATGGGACACCCTCAGACAGCACAGACTTACTTCACACTTAACTGTCGCTTCACTTTTAACAAGCGTCCAAACTCATTGTCACTCCTTGCCCCATATTTTATGAATATCCTTTGAAGCATGTTTACAACCCGGCTTCCTGCTCTGCTAGAAGGACCTGTTTTCTCTGGTATCCTCAAATAATCTAAAGAATGTTTCTGCATCTCTCTCTTTTTTTTTTTTTTCGAGACGGAGTTTCGCTCTTGTTGCCCAGGCTTGGAGTGCAACGGCGGATCTCGGCTCATTGCAACCTCCGCCTCCTGGGTTCAAGCGATTCTCCTCCCTCAGCCTCCCGAGTAGCTGGGATTACAGGCACGCACCACCATACCCAGCTAATTTTTGTATTTTTAGTGGAGAGGGGGTTTCACTATGTTGGCCAGGCTGGTCTCGAACTCCTGACCTCAGGTGATCCACCCGCCTTGGCCTTCCAAAGTGCTGGGATTATAGGAGTGAGCCACCGCGCCCGGCCAAGAATATTTCTGCATCTCAACCCTGCCCTTTCCCCTTTCAGACTTAGATCCCTTTCCCCCAGCCCCCGATACTATAGACTCCTTAGGATTATTTATTTTTACCTCATCTCTTTTCTTTTTTTTTTTTTAAGACAGGGTCTCACTCTGTCACCCAGGTTGGAGTGCAGTGGCACAATCTCAGCTCACTGCAATCTCTGCCTCCCAGGTTCAGACGATTCTCTTCTTCCTCAGTCTCCCGAGTAGCTGGGATTACAGGCATGTGCCAACATGCCTGGCTAATTTTTGTATTTTTATTAGAGGTGGGGTTTCATCATGTTGGCCAGTCTGGTCTCGATCTCCTGGCCTCAAATGATTCACCTGCCTCGGTCTCCCAAAGTTCTGGGATTACAAGCATGAGCCACCATGCTCAGCTATTTTTTAAATTTTTCTTTTTCTTCTTCCTTTCCTTTTTTTTTTTCTCTTTCTTTCTTAGATGGTGTCTCACTCTGTAGCCTAAGCTGGAGTGAAGTGGCGCCATCTGGGCTCACTGAAACCTCCACCTCCTGGGCTCAAATGATTCTTGTGCCTCAGCCTCCCAAGTAGCTGGGACTACAAGCCCGTGCCACCACGCCCTGCTAAATTTTGTATTTTAATAGGGACGGAGTTTCACCATGTTGCCCAGGGTGGTCTCAAACGCCAAGCTCAGGCGATCTGCCCACCTTGGCCTGAGCCATGGTGCCCAGCGTTGGTTATCTTTTTTTCCTAAGACGACAGTGAGAAAGGGGAGGTAGGAAAGGTGAACAGCAACACATCATATCATTCTATTTTTGTTGTTGTTGTTGCTGTTGTTTTGAGACAGGGTCTTGCTCTGTCACTCACCCAGGCTGGAGTGCAGTGGCATGATCTTGGCTCACTTCAACCTTTGCCTCCCAGGTTCAAGCGAATGTCACGCCTCAGCTTCCCGAGTAGCTGGGATTGCCGGTGCGTGCCACCACGCCCGGCTAGTTTTTGTATTTTTAGTAGAGATGAGGTTTCAACATGTTGGCCAGGTTGGTCTCGAACTCCTGACTTCAAGAAAGCCACCCGCCTCAGCCTCGCAAAGTGCTGGAATTACAGGCAGGAGCCACTGTGCCCAGCCATTCTCTTTTCAAAATAAATATCCACATTTTGCCAGCTGGTGTTCTGACTGGTACTGGCTCTTCAATTTTAGGAAAGAACATAGTCCAGGCACAGTGGCTCATGCTTGTAATCCCAGCATTTTGGGAGACAGAGGCAGGTGGATCATGAGGTCAGGAGTTTGAGACCAGCCTGATCAACATGGTAAATTGTTTACACCAAGAATAAAAATAAATAAATAAATAAATAAATAAAAATAAAAATAAATTAGCCTGGTGTGGTGGTGGCTGCTTGTAATTCCAGCTACTCAGGAGGCTGAGGCATGAGAATCTCTTGAACCTGGGAGGCGGAGTTTACAGTGAGCTGAAATCCCATCACGGCACTCCAGCCTGGGCAACAGAGGGGGACTCCATCTCAAAAAAAGAAAGCAATCAATTTTGGCCGGGCGTGGTGACTCACGCCTGTAATCCCAGCACTTTGTGAGGCGGAGACGGGTGGCTCACAAGGTCAGGAGTTTTGAGACCAGCCTGGCCAAGATGGTGAAATCCCGTGTCTACTAAAAATACAAAAATTAGCCAGGCGTAGTGGTGGGCGCCTGTAATCTCAGCTACTCTGGAGGCTAAGGGAGAGAAGTGCTTGAATCTGGAAGGCGGAGGTTGCAGTGAGCCTGAGATTTCACCAGTGCACTCTGGTCTGGGTAACAGAACGAGACTCCGTCTCAAAAAAAAAAAAAAAAAAAAAAAAAAATGTAATGGAAAGAATGGAACCGCAGAAGAAAGGGAAAGTGTCTTGTAATCACTGAGAAAATGTTAAGGCTAAAATTTAGTGTATCAAGACTTGAAGAATAAAGAGCTGAAAGTACATGCCATTAATTTCTTTAAAAATATAAAATAGTATAGAAAATAGAAAAAGTAGATTTCACAAAATCCAAGACATTTTGAAAAAGGCATCTGTTTGGAGTTCAAAATAGTTTTTAGCAAAGTAACTAGTTATAAACTGGCTAATTCTTCCTATTCAATACTTCCAACAGCCTCCAATATTTCACTTCCTTCTTTATCGTCATCCAGACAGACCCTTGAGAACACAGCTTCAATGACAGCCCAGGTCACTGCAGCATCAGGCTTCTGGGAATTGTGAGTCGTGGAATCTTTAATATTACTCGATCAGTGGTTCTACGCCTTTGCGCTCTTTTCGTTATTCATTTAAATGGGGTCCTTCTCCCAGGTTAAAAGGTCAATGTACTCACATGTGATAGTGCTCTGGAGAGTGCTGTCGTGATCGAAAGCAATGACAGTCACTTCATAGGGCGGTGGGCCCCCATCTTCCCCATTTTGCTGGCGGCTCAGACAGCAGCAGCGGAAGCACAGGGAAGACAGGCCGCACAGCAGAAGCAGCGCGCCAATTCCCACCAGCAACCTGCAAAAGCCCGTGGGGCAAGTGAGACTGGGATCTGGCTTTTTTCCCAGCTCTGCTGTAACCAGTCTTTAATGTCTGAGTTTTGATTCTTGTTTAAATATTTTTATAGAATAATTATAAACATTTTAATTTATAATTTTAATTTCAAGGCTTTTGCTTTATAGATAACCTTATTTTGTCAGCTGGAGTAAGTCAATCCATTAGAACAAATAAGACATTTAAGGTAATTTGAGGGGGCTGCTTTCTTATTCTTTTCTGAGTCAGAGTCTTGCTCTGCTGCCCAGGCTGGAGTGAAGTGGCATGATCTCAGCCTCCTGAGTAGCCAGTACTATAGGCACATGCCACTACACTCGACTAATTTTTTTTTTTTTTTTTGAGACAGAGTTTCGCTCTCATTGCCCAGGCTGGTGTGTAATGGTGTGATCTCAGTTCACCGCAACGTATTCCTCCTGGATTCAAGCGATTCTCCTGCCTCAGCCTCCTGAGTAGCTGGGATTACAGGCATGTGCCACCACGCCTGGCTAATTTTGTATTTTTAGTAGAGACGGGGTTTCTCCAGGTTGGTCAGGCGGGTCTCAAACTCCTGACCTCAGGTGATCCACTCCCTCGGCCTCCCAAAGTGCTGGGATTACAGGCATGAGCCACCGCGCCCAGCTTTTTTTGTATTTTTAATAGAGATGGGGTTTCTTTATATTGCTCAGGCTGGTCTCAAACTCCTGGCCTCAAAGTGGTCTGCCTGCCTCGGCCTCCCGATGTGTTGGGATTACAGGTGTGAGCCACTGCACCCGGCCAGGCTCTGCTTTTTAATTCACTAAAGTAATCTCCTTTGTGGAGATATTTCTAGAACAGACTCTGAGGGAAGGACACAATAATGGTTTGATGTTTGTGGAGGAGATGGTATTGAAAAAGGAAATCCTGACATATTGTCACATAGGTAGTGATGAAGTAATGAAATCTTACTCCATGAGATGCTAAGTAAGTAGGCAGGCTGTCATTTTTAATGACCCTGAGAAATACAGTGTCTTTCTGGGTATTATAAGTGAAACTTACCATATATACCAGAGATGTACCCAGTCTGTGGTCAGGCAACTATAAAGAAAGAATAAAGTTTTGTATATTAAAAATATAGTCAATCCCTGTTATAACTCCAGACTCAGAAATATGAGTTACAATGTGATGTGATACCTTGTTATAATAAAAGCACTATGGGTTATGTTTTTTAAATTCAATGTAGCTAGTTGAATCTTTTGCCAAATTATATGCTTTAAATAGTACTTTATACTATAGATGGCACTGTCCAAGTCATTTTGTAAATCATTATAAAACAAACTAGTGGTTATTAGAAGTGTTCATAGGAAACATGTATGTGCCTGTTGTAAACATTTACGATAAAAAAATTACCAAGAAAGGGCCAGCTCGGTGCCTCATGCTTGTAATCCCAGCACTTTGCGAGGCCGAGGCGGGCAGATCATGAGGTCAGGAGTTGGAGACCAGCCTGGCCAACACAGTGAAACCCCGTCTCTACTAAAAATACAAAAATTAGCCAGCCGTGGTGACTCCATCTCAAAAAGAAAAAAAAGAAAAAATACCAAGAAAGAACTTGGAATGCAAGTTTACAAAGAGTAACTTTGAAAATGGATGTAAAAGTTAGGACTCGTGTAAATTTGAGGTTAATAAAATGTAAACATAAAGAAAATTTCAGTTATGAGTATGAAAGTCATACAAACACATTTGTAATTTATCTTTTGCAAGCTGTTGCAACACTCCCACTGAGAATGTAGGGAAAAAAAATACTGAGTTTCTTCCTGCTATACTCTCCCAGCCCTCTGACACCAGATGTGTGGGTGGGGATTTCCCCACACACCAAGCAAGCAATCTTCCAGCAACAGACAACAGCTGAGTGTCCTCTAATTCAATTCAATTCCAACACTACCTGCCTGGAGATAGGATCCGATCCCACAGGGTGAGGGCTCAGTCCCCTAGACTGCTCCCCAGAATTCTGATGCCAATCACAAGTTGTTTTGCCTGTGTTTCTGGCCTACTGGTTACAAATTGGGGGTTCCCTGACTCCCTCTTGGGGTTGCATTAATTTGTTAGAGCAGCTCACAGAACTCAGGGAAACACTCACTTACATCTACAGTTTATCACAAAGAATATTACCGAGGATGCGGATGAAGAGATGCATAGAGCAAAGCATGTGGGAAGGGACACGGAGCTTGCATGTCTTCCGAGTGCACCACCCTTCAGAAACCACCACCTGTTCAGCTGTACAGAAACTCTTCAAATCCATCCTTTGGGATTTTTATGAAAGCTTCATTATGTAGGCATGATTGATTAAATCATTGGCCATTGATGATCAACTTCAGCCCTTCTATTTTCCTTGGATGTTGAGGGATGTGGCTTTAAGCATTCTGCCTTGGTCCTTCCAATGACCAGCCCCACCCTGAATCTACCTAGGGGCTGCCAGCCACCAGTCAACTCATTAGCATGCAAAATGATACTACTTACTTTGGGGATTTTAGAAATTGTATGCTAGGAGATGGGGACAAAATCAAATATATATTTCACAGTATCACACCCACCATAAAGAGTACCCTAATTTTTCACATCCAGGATCAAAACTAATATATATATCCACTGAGACCAAACAGGAAGAGGGAAAAAAGTAGAAGCCAACTTTACCATGATGAGAGCTAAATAAATGTTCTGTGTTCACTATGGCAACTGTAAATTTTCTCTGTAAGAATGAAAAAAAAAATACGGATTTTATGGGAGAAGGAGTAGAAGATAAGGTCAGAAACTGGAGAATGAGGTGAGGCATAGTATCTGTGTATGTTTGAAGAGTAGTAAATTTTGTTATTTAATAATTCTTTCTGATACATGAATCTACTGAAATCTAGTGAATCTATTTTTATTCTCTGGTCACACATTTATAGAAAATATAGGTTTTTTTTGTTTTTTCACTGAACAATGACTCCTCTTAGTTTTCCCACATTTCTTACTTGTTGAAAATTCCTCTGGTTCTAATTAGATTCTGGTTTATAGGAAAGGACTCTTCCTATGGTGGCAGAGATGTAAAACCTCAAAAAGCAGTTATCAAGTAGTCAACACGCAATGTGCATGTGAATGTAATCAAGGCCATCACCATTTCCCTGGGTTTAACAGACCTGGCTATCGGGAAACTCTTCCCATGGCTAAATATGTATTTTTCTTCAACCTAAACAAGTTTTTATTCAAAGTGCCCCTACTTTTTAAAAATTTTATTTTGTAGTTTCTTTAAGTGGAATGACTCTTGCATATTTATCTTCACGTCCTCTGTGTCTACATAAGACCTAAGTGTGGCAAGTTTCGATTAGTTGACAACTACATCAAAGTGATAGCTAAATGAAGTCTGCAATAAATGTTAACATGCCCTAAAAACTAGAAAATACTTTCAAATTTAAAGTGATAATGTTACTTTGGAAATCACCCAAATATGTACGCCAGTGACTAGATACTAAACCCAGTCTGTCCTGGTGAGTCACTGAGAAGCAGGGCTAAGGAAGTCTTTTGCAAGTCTCTATGACTGTGTAAGTTGAGATTAATCATGCTGCTTTGATGGGAAGATAGGCTTGGGGTAAAAACATGCTGTCAGCAGTGTTATTTTGAGCGCTTTAAGATGATACAAACACATGTCTTTATTTTGTGATAACTCATCTGTGAGATCTATTACTTAAGTAAAAATAAAAGGAAGTCATAGATGTCTAATGACATCTTGACTGTCTTTAGGGTAGTGATGTTTTTGTCTGTTGCTCCTTCCTCCCAGCTTGAACTCTATACTTACTGTTCAGGATTACCACAGTTTTCCTCGCATCTCGTCCCAGAAAGCTGTAGAAAGAGAAATTGTCTTATACAGGGAAATTGTCTTGTCTGCTGTGTTCAGCTGCCTACCAATCATCTCTCATGGTTGTGCTGTGTTAGATCAACCAGTAAGAAAGTCACAGTCTTAGGGGCAGTCTATTTAGGACTGCCATTTTCATCTCTCCCATACTTGCTGGCTTTTGTACTTGAGGTAAGGGAACCGTGAAGAACGAATATCTTGTCTGTTGTTTTGGTGGTGGGTGAGCATCACCCTTTGTGAATGAAAGGTAGCCATTTACATTAAATTGTCTACAGTAGAAAATTCCTGATCTCTCTGTCCCTTGGGATATTGCTATTGTCCTCCTAACTCCTGCCCAGTTGAATTCTACACCACTGCTCATTTTTATCCTCTTAGTGTGACAATGACTATACAAAGGAAGAAGGGGAAAAGCAAGGGGACCAGTGGGACAGATGGTCTTCTTTATTGAATAGCTACTAGATACCAGTCAGACTGCTAACAACTCTGTTATTTTGTTTGTTTGTTTGTTGTTGTTTGTTTGTTTTTTGAGTCTTGCTCTGTCACCCAGGCTGGAGTGCAGTGGCATGATCTTGGCTCACTGCAACCTCCACCTCCCGGGTTCAAGCAATTCTCCTGCCTCAGCCTCCCGAGTAGCTGGGACTACAGGCACGTGCCACCACGCCTGGTTAATTTTTGTATTTTTAGTAGAGATGGGGTTTCACCATGTTGGCCATGCTTGTCTCGAACGCCTGACCTCAAGTGATCCACCCGCCTCTGCCTCCCAAAGTGCTGCTGGGATTACAGGCGTGAGCCACCATGCCCGGCCATGAACTCTTAATATTTCATAGCATTTAATCACAATAACCCTCTTGGTGGGTATATTTAACCTTATCTTGAAAGGTTAAGGGACTAAGGCACAGGGTTTTAAGTAATGTGACCAGGCCAGGCATGGTGGCTCATGCCTATAATCCCAGCACTTTGGGAGGCCAAAGTGGGCGGATCACAAGGTCAGGAGTTCGAGACCAGTCTGGCCAACATGGTGAAATCCCGTCTCTACTAAAAATACAAAAATTAGCCAGGTGTGGTGGTGTGCACCTGTAATCCCAGCTACTCTGGAGGATGAGGCAGGAGAATTGCTTAAACCTGGGAAGTGGAGGTTGCAGTGAGCCAAGATCATGCCACTGCACTCCAGCCTGGGAGAGCAAGACTCCGTCTTGGGAAAAAAAAAAAAGCAAGAAAGAAATGTGACCAAATGTACACACCTATTGATGTAGACAGAACTCAAATCAAACCCTATCATAGATATGTGTTGAAAGAATCAATAACACTGGGGACAAGTTTGCTCTAACAATTCCTCGATATTGCTATCAAGTCCCTTCTACTCCTTCTACAGAAAACAAAAAACAAAAACAAAAAAACAAAATTGTCCACTCTTTCTTCTACCTGATTTTTTTAGTTGACTTCCTCTTTCAAAAACCCATTCAAGGCTGGGTGCAGTGGCTCACACCTGTAATCCCGCCACTTCAGAAGGCCGAGGTGGGTGGATCACTTGAGGTCAGGAGTTTGAGATCAGCCTGACCAACATGGTGAAACCCTGTCTGTACTAAAAAAATACAAAATGAGCCAGGCATGGTGGTGCATGCCTGTAATCTCAGCTACTTGGGAGGCTGAGGCAAGAAAATCACTTGGACCCTGGAGGCGGAGGTTGCAGTGAGCCAAGATGGTGCTATTGCACTCTAGCCTGGGGAACAAGAGCAAAACTCCGTTTAACACCACCACCACCACCACCACCGCCATTAATTTAATTCTAGAAGCTGCTTCTGTCTTCTAATAACTTGAGTGCTCTGATATTTCAGGAAAGCAACCACAAAGTCCCTTAGAAAAGAAACAGAGATTTGTAACTATTGGGAGTTTATGGTGGGCAGTGAAGGGGTAAGGAGACACACATATTCAAAACCTATCAGTTGAAAAGGATTTGTAAAAGGATGAATAGCCAGGCTTTGCAGATAACATTTGAGAAACCCCTGCTTGTGTTTTCATTTGTAAGAACTGGCCACTGAGGATGACAAAGCGTGTGTTTCTTCCACCCAACCATGGTACTTTCTTTCACTTTCTTCACTAAAAGTAAGAGAAGCCTAAAGTGCTCAGCAGAGAAAATGCCACTTTTCAGGCTTGTTGCAAAGAGAAAAGAGAGGAAAAATGAAGGAAAGAGAAGGCAAAGGAAGTGAAGAGGAAGCAAAAAGAAAATATAAGAAAAAACGGATTTTCAGATACCACTTTAGCTGGTCTATTAGCAAAAAAAAAAAACAAAAAAACCCTCAGCCCACTTTGTACAGGGGCCATACTGGAATCTGAAACTATCCAGTTTTCTTCATTTGCTCTCCTTCTTGCTAGATGGCATAGCTCTGTACATTTCCCCATGACAATTGCTTAGAATCCCTCAGTCCAGTGACCCTTTTCTCCACTAATGGATTACTCAGAGACTTCTGATTCATTGTAGGCCCAAAATATTTTAAAAGAGCCCTCCCTCTCTTATTTCTAGACTAGACACACCTAAACTGCTAGAAGATGGTTAGAAATTCCTGGATGGGAAATTCCATTTAGGGGAATCACATACCTAGTTTTCATAATCTGTTTGGAATTTTGAGGGATGGGTGATAAGATGCTAAAAGAGAGAAATATACTTCAGTGACACTTTTAAAGTGCCACGGCAATCCTGCGTGTTTCCATGCTCACTCTAATTTCTGTCCCCCTTTTCATTGTTGTTGCCGTCAGTCACACATGCATCTATGCAATCTCGTAATACTAAGGAAACTTTGTAGTGTATTCATTTCCCTAGGACTCCCTGGTTTCTGTGTATGTCTCCCCACCCCGCAGTTCATTTCCTCTCAGATTCTTCTGAGTTGATTAATCTGGGGAAAAATATTGTCTCTCTGCTTTTTCACCACTGAACTCACCAGGATGCAATGCACCAGGGCAGAGGCCGTCGCGACATGAACTCGGACTCCCATCGGGCTGAATTCCTGTATCTTCAGAATCTTGCACTGGGCATCCATTGCCTCCTTTCAATGCTCTGTGCCATATTTGACTTCTTGACCTAGAATTCTTAAGGAGAGAAACTTTTCTCAGGAATTTATCAGCTTTTCTCTCTTTCTTTCTCTCTGTCTCCTCCTCTGTCTCTCTCTGGTTAGTATTTTCTATGGCCTTTCCCTCCTCTTTTTTCCTGGTTTTCTTCTTTATCCTTATTACTATTTCTCTGGCCTCCACATTTACTTCCTTTTGCCTTCTTTCTTTCCGTTATACTATTAATTCTTTCTACATCTTTAAGTTTCTTTCTCCTACTGCTCCCAAAAAGGAGACATGCAAAGAGGACATATGTGTCCTCTGAAGTATTTTTCTAGACATTGATGAAAAACTTGGCGTAGAGGATGGTCAAAGGCAGATTACTGGTGATCAAATATATTCTTTTCTTCATCAGAAAACTGGTTATATTCTTGATCCTTCACCAGAGTACTCTGGAGTGACTGTTGCAGGGTGAAAGTCACCCTGCTACTCTCCTTTCTTCTCTCTCCATGTGATTAACAACCCTTTCTTGCTCTTTGAAACCCTCCCCTTCACTATGTTGATAATCAACTCTCCTGGTTCTGGGTCATTTATCCCTAACCGCTGGGGTAAGACTGAGAGGTTGCCAAATGAACAGGAAATGAACAGGAAAGCCATCTCATCTTTGGAGAAAACAGACTCGAAGATGAGAAATCAAGTTGGAAGATTAGAATTTTCATGTGTTATCAGTGACATGTTCCTCCACCCTGACTTCACTTCCCATTGAAATGGATAACTGAGAAAGACATTTTTAAAAATGTCATTTAAAACCAAATTTTTAAAAAGCAAATGTATAGCTTGCTTTCTTTCTTATCTTTTTCTTTGTGCCTTCTTTCTCTCTCTTTCTCTCTCTCTCTCTCTCTCTCTCTCTCTCTGTCTCTTTGGTAAAGTAGTGATGTGATTGACAAATAAGTCTTGCCACTCAGGAAAATAAAACCTAAGGTCAGAATAAAAACAAGCACACACGCAAGAGCATAGAATAGTTATAATGAAACAAATCTACAGAAACAAATGCGGCTGGGTGCCATGGCTCACGCCTGTAATCCCAGCACTTTGGGAGGCCAAGGGGTGCTGATAACTTCAGGCCAGCAGTTTGAGATCAGTCTGGACAGCATGATGAAACGCTGTCTCTACTAAACATACAAAAATTAGCTGTGTGTCATGGCAGGCACCTGTAATCTCAGCTACTTGGGAGGTTAAGGCAGGAGGTCGCTCGAACTCGGAAGGCAGAGGTTGCAGTGCATGGAGATCACACCACTATACTCCAGCCTGGGCGACAGAGCGAGAATCTGACTCAAAAAATCAAAATAATAAAAGAAACAAACGAATGCTGTATGAATGATTTATACTTAAGTAGGTGATCTTTTACTTAATACCAAATATTTAATAAAAATATTATTATTATTATTATTGGAGACAGAGTCTCTCTGTCGCCAAGCTGGAGTGCAGTGGTGTGATCTCGGCTCACTGCAACCTCTGCCTCCTGGGTTCCAGCAGTTCTCCTGCCTCAGCCTCCTGAGTAGCTGGGATTACAGACACCCACCACAACGCCCAGCTAACTTTTCTATTTTTAATAGAGACAAAGTTTTACCATGTTGGCCAGGCTGGGATAAGAAAAGTAGATGTCAGTTTACAGTGATATATCTATCTCAATCTCATAAGAATTGAATAAAACCTCCTTTGAGGGCCTTTCTCGCTCAGTAAATCTAATTCTACTGAGTGGTTGTGGAAGGGAGACTCTCGAGTGGGTGATCATACTCTAAGGGTCCTCACACACAGCTTGATGATGGGATATGAGAATGGAGGATGTAACCTGTTTTTGTGGTCAGCTAAGGAAAACAAATAATGAGAGAATGGCCTGGTACAATCCTGGTGATTTAAAATCTGTCAGTTTCAAAACAAAATGAGCACTGACAGTCTTTTGTTTTTTACTTTTTTAAATTAGGCAACTGGGGTTAGGATGAAGAGTAGTTTCCAGATTTCAGTTGAAGACTTGGCAAAGGTGGACGGTATTTTATAGGACAAGGAGAGCAGAGCTTTAGGTGGCCTTCCACTAAATTGTTATGTGATTTCTCCAGTCCTTAGTGTTCCCATTCACACAACAGGAGCGGAATACCCACTTGACCTGCTTTAGATGTTATTTCCTAGAGCAAATGAAAATAAAAGACAGGAAAGCATTTTGAATAGGATGTTTCTATCATGAGTGCCATGTACATGGGGAACGCATCATGAACCTTTTCCTTCTCTTTTTCTTGGCAGAAAGACAGTAGAGCACCAAGGCCTAAAGCCTAGCCAGGATACCTGGGTTTAAATACTTGGTTTTGTCACTTAGGAGCTGTGTGATCTTGGAGCAGGTTATTAGATCTCTGTTGGTTCACTTTCATTTTATATAAAACGGGGATAATAACAGTAATATTTATTTGATAGGCTTATACAGATTAAATAAGTTAACGTGTGTAAAATTAATATAATAGTCCTAACTGATATTTTTTGTGTTCGCTAAGATTATTTTGATTTTCACTGAATTTTACCAATGACCTTTACTTTCAAGATTCTGCATAATTACTGTCCTTTATGCTTCTCTTCTATATTTCTATACCATTCCCTCTCCAGACCACATTTTAGTTTCCTGAGATTCTAATTCTTGAGTATTTTTCCTTGCTAGCCTGGCCACTTCTTCTCCCAACCATGCCAGCCTTCACCTGCCTAAACAGGTTTCCTGGTTAACATGACTCCCCGCTCGCATTGCACTTTTCTAACACATGATTGCCATCATCTTTTTGCCCTCCAGCTTCCAAACAGGTTTGAACAAAATGGGTTCTGTTAATGACCTTGTAACTTTCCTTTCTTAGAATTATTATTACCGTTTTCTTTTTTTTTTTTTTCCTCACCAGATTAGTCCCTGGAAAAACAAAAGTTTGTTTTTATTCTGATGAATGAGACTATGCCTTGGGGCAGCTTTAACTCTGAATCCGGTCCCTAACCAAGCCTCCATATAGGGAATGATGAAAGAAGAAAGAGAATTCAGGCAACAAGACTGAACAAGGCACACATTGGACAGGTACAGAAGGGCAGGTAGCTGGGGTAGAGGGAAATGGTCTCATTACAATCCTATACGATCTTGTGCAGTTCCATTAAGCTTGTGAATCATTAGCTTATAACCAGGTAGTTAAGGACTTGGAGTGGAACCAGCAGACGGTGCATGTACATAGACTTTTACACCTATGCCTCAGGGAATAGTTATACAACTGGTGTAACAAGTGTAGCCAAAAAAATTGCTTACTTCTGGTTCCGTTGATCATTCTCCTTTTGACTTTGCGTAAGTCAGGTGGCCAACTATGGATTTCTTTCCTCTCTGTGCCTCAATAAAATAGAGGCCAGGACTATTATTACTCTGAGGCATCAACCTCAAACTCTAAGTCAGTGGGCAGGGCCGCAGCCCTGACTTCAAAAATAAATAATACAGCAGAAGTTGTTTCATCTTTGCAACCCTTGGGAGATCCCTTGGGAAGTGTTTCCATCTAAGGAGCCATGATCACAGCACAGGGACTGAGCGACAGCCTCAAAGACACTGAAATCAGTAAAAAGATTAGAGTTAAAAAAGTTAAACAAGATGGAAGGATTCAGTTTATCGTAGAATGTTTTAGGTTTATATGCTGTGTAACACATCACCACAAATTATGTGAGCCGCAATGTAAAACAACATACTTTTATTATTTCAAAGTATCTGTGCGTCAGAAGTGTGGGCACAACTTAGTTGGGTCCTCTGCTTGATGTCTCACAAGGCTGCAATCATGGTGGCTGCTGGGCTGTGCTCTCATCATGCATTCCCAGGTGACCCTGGGAAGATTCACTTGTAAGCTCTCTCAGGCAGAATTTATTTCTCCATGGCTGCAGGATCCATTTAAGCTTGCTTTTAAAAATCTAGACAGAGAGATAAAGATGGAAATAGGAGAGGAAGAGTGACTTTAGCATAATAGTCACTATACCTTACATAAGCTTATGTAGATGATCACACACATTCCCGCACTTCTGCTACACTCCAAGTCATAGGTCTCACTCACACTCAAGGCGAAGGATTACACAAGATCATGAACACCAGGAGGCAGGGATAATGAGAGCCCCCTAAATTTTTTCAAATCTGGCCGGGCGCGGTGGCTCAAGCCTGTAATCTCAGCACTTTGGAGGCCGAGGTGGGCGGATCACGAGGTCAGGAGATCGAGGCCATCCTGGCCAACACTGTGAAACCCTGTCTCTACTAAAAAATACAAAACAAAATTGGCCGGGCATGGTGGCGGGCGCCTGTAGTCCCAGCTACTCGGGAGGCTGAGGCAGGAGAATGGCGTGAATCCGGGAGGAGGAGCTTGCAGTGAGCCGAGATCGCGCCACTGCACTCCAGCCTGGGCGACAGAAGGAGACTCTGCCTCAAAAAAAAAAAAAAATTTTCAAATCTGTCCAGTTATCTGCCACACAAGGACTGTAGAAACTATCCCACTGATCTTTAAAAAGAGGATAAACCCAAACATCCATCAATGGATAAATAAAATGTAGAATGTGGTTTATATATACAAAGGAATATTATACAGACTTAAAAAGGAACAAAATTCTGGCACATGCTACCACATTGATAATTGTTGAAGACACAGTGCTAAATAAAATAAGTTAGATACAGAAGGACAAATATTGTATGATTCCACCAGTAGGAGGTGCCTAAAATAAACCAATTTACGGAAACAAAAAAATGGAATGGTGGTTTCCAAGAAAGGAGAAAGGAATTGGGATTTGTATTAGGTCTGTGCAGAGAAAGAGGATCAATAGGATGTGTACATACGTAGAAATAGATTTATTATAAGGAATTGACTTTTATGATTATAGAGTCTGGTAAGTTAAAATCTGGAGTGTGGGCTGCCAGACTCGGCTGGCAAGTGGAGAACTGGGAGAGTTGATGGCTTAGTTCCAGTCCGTAGACGGCTGGAGAATTCTTTCTTATTTGGGGGAAGGTTAGAAGTTATTTTGTCGTTTAGGCCTTCAACTTTTGGATGAGGCCCACCCACATTATGCAGTGAAATCTGCTTTCCTCTGCTGATTAATATGTTAACCTTATTTAAAAGCATCCTGTCTGGGAACCCCATGGCCCAGTCAAGAAGACACATAAGGGCAACATGGTGGCTCATGCTTGTAATCCCAGCACTTTGGGAGACAGAGGCGGGCGGATCACTTCAGGACAGGAGTTCAAGACCAGCCTGGCCAACATGTTGAAATACTTTCTCTACTGAAAACATGAAACAATTAGCCGGGAGTGGTGGCGGATGCCTGTAATCCCAGCTACTCAGGAGGCTGAGGCAGGAGAATTGCTTGAACCCAGGAGGCAGAGGTTGCAGTGAGCCGAGATCACGCCTTTGCAATCCAGCCTGGGTAACAAGGGCGAAACTCCATTTCAAAAAGAAAAAAAGACACATAAAATTCAATTCACCATCACAGGAGTTATTGCTTGTTGGGTACAGAGTTACAATTGGGGAAGA